GATATTACTATGTAGATGGATGCGGTTTACACTTTGGCAAGGTAAAGTGACAGCCCTATTGAGCCACCGCAACATCTGATATCCGACATGTTCATTTTCAAGGCAAAGTTGAGATATTTGGAAACAGAAATCACGGGGACACCAGCAGGGCATTTGTTCAAGGGAAAAAAAGATTGTGGTTAAAAACTAGCTTTTTTACCTCGTAATATCGTCGAACGGAACTTGAATACTGCTCTTAGGCTAATACAGAAAAAGAGTTGTACATTTGGTCCCATCTCTTCTCTGCCGAGATAACCTTTTCCCAAGATGCTTTAAAAGAAAACCTCCTTGCTATGACGGTCAAAGAGTTGACAATTGCCATCTTAAGGGCACTTTCCAAAGGCAGCATTGCATCCGGTGCCGCAGTGATCAGCGGAGCTTCCACACCATCCGTACTGCGAGCAGCAGTTTCCAAATGCCGAACCAATGCAAGTGAAGCCCGAGGTTCCACCACAGGTTCCGTCGGTGGAAGCCTTAGCAGTGCCGGTGGTGGGCTTGGGCGCAGCAGTGCTCATGGTGGTTGAGCCGGCACCGGTACCGCAGGTACCGAAGCCAGTCTGGCAGCCAGTGCCGCAGTAGTCATTGGTGCTACCGCACCAGCCTGCAGAGCTGCAGCAATTGCCGAAAGCAGATCCTGTGCAGGTGCTGGGAAAAGTTAGAAATGTGTAAAGGATACACGGATACGGGGGTTTCTTACAATCCTTTGGTACCACCGCAGGTAGCATCAGTGGACACCTTGCCGGTTCCGGTGGGAGTAGGGGCAGCAGAGGTAGGCTTTGCGCTGGCAGAAGTAGGCTTTGCGCCTCCAGTGGAACCACCGGTGCTAGCACCACCAGCCTTGCGGTACCAGTTCTCGGCAGGGTCACCAAGGCATTCACCGACAGTGACGGCTTTGTAACCGAGCTGGGTAAGAGTGGAGAGCATGTACTCGGTCAGGTTCATGGCAGTCTGCTCGTGGATATCGTGGCCAATCTCGAGCCACTGGGCGCTGGCGGCTTTACCCGAGGAAACATTGCCCTTGAAAACGTCCTTGGAGTACTGAATCAGAGTAGGGTCATCGTGCTCGTAGTCATCCTGGAAAAAGTCAGTTATTATTTCCAAAGAGCATCATAAAGTGTGCGTACAGTGTCCACGTCGAAGTAGGTGACGTGGTAGCCAAGGTCAGCCATGTCCTTCTCACAGCCAGACTCGGCAGTGCAGCTGGAGTAGGGAGGACGCATGTAGGTGGGGATTTTGCCAACGATGTTACGCAGAGCCATCTCGTTCTTAATCATCTGGTCGTGGCGATCCTGCGAGGAGATGGCGCTCAGGTCCAAATGAGTCCAGGTGTGCGAAGCAAGCTGGTGGCCTTCAGAGTCCATACGCTTGATGACTTGGGTGAATTCAGGAGTGATGTCGATTTGGCCCTTGCCGATGTTGTTACCAGTGATGAAGAAGGTAGCTTTGGCGTTGTAGGAAGCCATGACATCAAGAATATGGCTAGTGAAAACCTTCTGGGGGCCGTCATCGTAGGTGAGAGCAACGGTTCCTGGTTTGGTACAGCTGTAGATACCGTTGCCGCCATATTCGACATTTCCTGACTTGGTACGGGCAATTGAGGCGGTGCTGGTACCGGCTGGTGTCACGTTCTCTGGACAAGCCGGGCCATGCTTGTAGTCACAGCCGGGAGAGAAGCAGTAGTCGGAATCATTTCCACAGTCTGAAATTCGTCAATGAAAAGTCTTGATATGTAACACAAACAAAACATACAGCCGGCTTCTGAGCAGCACTGGCCAGCAGGGCAGTTGCCAATGCCAGCTCCACACTGGCGGTCATCCTGGCGGCGGACAATTTGTGTCTTGACCTTGTTCTTGGCACTGGCAATCTCGTTGACGCCAGTGAATCGTGCTCCGATACCAGAAAGCAAGTCGCGAGCCCTGGTGTCCTTCGGATCTAGTCCGACAATGTTAGGGAGGCCGGTTCCATGGCCACTAACGATCGGGGCAACGGCTACAACGGCCGCAAGAGCAGCAGAGTAGTGCATGTTGGAAGAATGCGACCGGTCCTGATTATGGAATTAAAAGTAATAATCAAATTGGAATTGTAAATGGGCGGGAGCGAGCGGAACGTGATGGTCGACAACGACAACACACTGAGAGACCTGGAGATGGAAAACGAAGGTGGGCCACAATAAGTGTGGTAAGAATTAGGTATCCGGTAGAAGGTACCCGGAAGTAAACATTTCAAGGTGCAGACACTGTTAGTTTATGAATGGCAGATGATCGACGACTCCGACCGATGTGGGGTGCCAATGCCAATATCGACTCGCGCCGAGGCTAGCGTCTCCACCTAGGGCTTGTCTAGATGCATATGAGGGCGGAAAAAGTACACGTCCGTATTACCGACCCCTGGTTTGCAAGCATGAAATCCGCGCTACCGGCTTCGCTCCGGGAGGAAATTCCATGGGTTGCGGGTCGAACGGACTGGATGGCCATGCAGGAACGAGAATGTTATCACAATGGTGAGTAAAAAATAGAATGTAATGTATTGACCTGTTTGGTTTGAAACGCAGTCTAACCTGTATGATATTACAAAGACAGCTCATCTTGCATTTGTCTGCCGCTCAGAAGTTTAATCACCGCCATGGCCTCGAAACGATGAGTGATTCACACCTGGGCGTTCTCCGCTGCCCGTCTTGATGTTCAGGACTTGGGCCGGCATTATCCCTCCGCGGGTCTTTCACAGAGGGCAGTAATGGTGTTTCGCGAGTTCCAGGGGCGGCATGATTGCCTTAGTCCATTATAGGTTGTCGTACCAGGTCAAATGCAGGGGAGAAGGTGACGTCTTCCCCTTCCACAGCTGGTGGTGCGGCACCCAACAACGCCATCAAAGCATCGACCTCTTGCGGGCACATTGGCAACAGTCGCCGAGGCTGTCCAAGCGGTCGCTACGGGGCTTGGAGCAGAGCTTGTCAGAGGTTAAGAGATTCGCTTGGCAAAACAAGTCAGGCTGCACGCCATGTCGGTTTGGGCAGCCAAGAATTAAATACGATAGCATAAACAGTGGCCCGCATTCAGGCACCGCATACTGCGCAGCTTGGTGTCGTTGAAGCCCCTGGGCCAGGTGGTGGCAGGCGAGAAGAGAGATTACAGAGTGCCGAAATATGCGAGAACGATGAACGGCCCCGTATCGCGCCGTTTTGGGTACCGTCGCCTCCCGACGATATCGCTTGAGCCAATCACCAGTATTGCCAAGCTATACTCATCTTCTCTGGCAGGCCTGCCCCCAGCATACAACTTGGCTCGTTCAAGTCTGTCGCCCATCTGCACCCTTCCGAAGATGGGAGCCTTTCACGCACACGAAACCCCTCAATATTTACCGGCAAGGGTAATGGAGTAAGTTTGTATTGGCTCCATGCGGCTTTGCAGCCAAATACCGTTATGTCTGATTCATGGCAGTCCCTCTAAAACGTCTCCCTCCGAAAGCTGATGCAAGCATCCGCAATCCGGCCTTCGGGAATATCGCCAGAAATAAAAGGCTGCGCCTATTTTCAGCGCCATGCTTTTCCCCTGTTAGACAAGCTTTTAGCCCAATGACTGGGATCTTCAGCCCTAGCCCAGCACCTTGACTCGGACACTGGAAAGACGCCACAGTTAAAACCTGTGACAGCCTCGTTCTGGTACCAGCGTGATCCACTACTTAGCGGTTCTCGAGTTTTTTACTATAGGGTTTAACGGTGGGGAATATCGTTTGTGGCCAGAAGTGCGACTGGCAGAGCCACCAAGTCAGGCATGGAGACCCCTCCCGAAGCCGCGCCAGCTTGGACTAGGATGCTGATTGGCCTTTGTCTGCCTCGCAGCCTTTACAATACCAGACCTCTGTTCCGGACTGCCGTGCAAAACAATAAACGACTCGAGAAGCACAGCGAGCGCTGGTCTTATCAGCAATAAATTGCCCCCTTTTTTTCCCTTCATGTCCGCTCCAATCTCGGTCATGAAAATTAGCATGTTGTCCGTGGGTCTTGCTTATGCTAAGAAGTACCAAGTCCCGTCTCGCCGCTATTACACCGCTATATTCTACCCTCAGACACCGTCAATCTGATAGTATCTATACGCAGGGTTAAAGCAGCGACTGTGGTGTAGAGACATTCTCCATGGTGGCAGGCATGTTCCCTTTGCTCTTGCCCACTCAAATTACAGGTATGCTGATATGCAGTACTACTGTATGGTAGTACATACTTCGCAGTAGAGGCGAAAATTATCACCTCAGCATGTCATCTTATAATCCTTGTGCGAAAAACACGAGTTGTAGAATCGGAACATTGCCGCTGATCGCCATTTCATTATCGTTACCTGAAGGCTACGATATTGTTACCGTAAGACGTAACCATGCATACCCTTTTTCTCAACCAGTTTCTATTCCGTTACGTGACACCGAGCCTGCAAACCATGTCTTCATCATGTCGTCTTACACCACGAAACATCGATGTTGCGAACACATAATAGTATTTCGCTTAATAACACACGTGCTGCTCCGCATCCGTCGAGTGTATGATTCTAAGACCTATAATGGGTGGGTATGACATACTTACAATCACGCCGGGCTGACCGGACCGCCACCTCTGGTCCTCCATGAGCGGCTCGGTTCATTTGCGATTCGCTGCGAGGCTACACTTGATGTGTGATTTGAGTTTTCCAATCTATGATTACAGTCCCAAATGCGGGGTCTACGAGGTATGCGTTGAGCTATGTTCACTCTCAATCTTGACGTTCATGCAGAAAGACATCGTGCCTCAGGTTAGGCAAAGGATACGAGCGCGTAATAACTTTAGCTTCTTCCCCATGCGCTCTTCCACAACACAGATGGAAGATGGTTTATTGCCTCGCTATGAAGGAGGGAAAGCCGAGATAAAATCGAATAGATAGATGGTATTTCTCGCACTGTTCGTTCTCACTATGGAAGATCGGGTACGTATTTTCATTTCAGCATATCTCAGACTTATCCACAGAGTCTTGCGTAACGGTAGTTGAAACCATGATACTACTACCGTGCTTGACTCTCAATTCCTCCTGACTATTTTGGGCACATAACCAGTGTAGGTCTATAGTGTTCAGCCCGACCACCTTAGTTATGTCGCGTGTCGCTCTACTTCCAATGGTTCCTAATTCTATCCTGCTACCGTGGTTCTTATTTGTATCACTATCTGCTTGTCTCCGATAGCCATGGGAGTCATAGGAGGCCTTGGTACGGGCTGAATTTGTTAAGACTGCGAATGCGGGACAACACCCGATGATGACGGCTGTGGTGGCATGAGCGTTGGAACGCTTATAAGTGGGAACTCAACTTACCAATTGAACATTCCACCATGCCCCAAATAGCAAGCCATGTGGGATCAAGTGGTGCATCCACGGCTTCAGGCTTGGATGCGTTCACAGCTACCTGAGTGACACGGAGACAGGCGAATAGTATGCATACAAAACCTGTTCCGAACAGACATAGCATTGATATCTTTTTCCTACGCGGCATCTGAAGGCTCCACGTGAGCCATATCGGAAGAGCCATGACTATGACAGTCACAAGTTAGCAATTTGTGCCACAATCCAGGTATCGTAGGAATGCGTACTCATCAAATTCGTAGATGTATCTGCAACAAAGGAAAAATACAAACTGAAGAGTTGAGCATTATGCCGAGCTTTCCCACCCTGTAACAAGAAAACATTAGTTGATATTCTCAAGATTGACGGCAGATCGACTCACACAACCTCCGGTCCAAAAACCAGATGGGGTACCACACGATTTGAAGTAAAAGTGGTAGTTTCCAAAGAATGTCTACAACCAAAGTGAGTTGACAGCTAACGCAACGTTCTGGTAATTACTTACAAGTACACAAATCCCAACGATGCCCCACCACACAATAGTATAACACCTGGATAACCCAACCAGCAATTTCCGATAAAGCAGCAACAGCGAACACTTGATCGCCCACAAAACACCCCAGAACAAGTTGAAAGCAGCAAACACCATCTTCGTCATCACAACTGCATCGTGCGCTAACTCCGGGTACGGCGCAATCTCTCCATTAACAACACCATACACTCTCTGCATATGCGGCGACACAGCAATATACAGTGCGCACTTTGTAACGTAGAAAGCGAAGCCGGCAAAAACAAAGTAGTCGGACGCCGTGAGCCGCTTCGGCTTAGCGATATTGAGACCTATTCTGGCGAGGACAACGGAGCTTGTGAGACCAAGCATCGAGTATGCGACCTTGAGCACTGTGCCCTGAGCGAAACCATTGGTGCGCGTCGACATATTTTGGGTTGGATTTTGACTGAAAACAAGACGATTACAACGAAAGAAAAAGAAAAAGTCCAGAAACGGGGGGAAGAAAGGGGAAGGGGAGAGCAAAGCAGCATGATAGCAAGGCCAAAAAAAAAGCTGGCGGTAGTTGTACTTTGCCGCATATTCGGCTTATCCAGGTAATGGGGTGCGGAATATCGCTTGCCTTTGCGGCGTAGACGTCAATCGTCACAGTTGTCAAGACCTAGTCGGTCGATTGTTGCGAAGGGGATGGGCGCTCAATTTACTGTGCCGAGCGTATGACTGCAGGCCCCGCCAACATCGGATATCGTCATGTTAAGAAGATTTGCAGGGAGGATCGATGTTTGGTACCCTGGAGTTGCCCCTGTGAAACGGGTGATTTGAGATCAGTGGTTGTGTTGGGAGATCCTACACGGTAGATCGGGTGGACTTGAACGGCATACTGGAAGAACTACTCGCTTCAGCAAGTTCGTAGAAATTATGCCAATCTGATGGCTCCTGGTTAGTATTGATGAGTGTGCACGAGACTGTAGAAAATAATGTGGTTTCTGTTGATAGATTGCTTCTCAAAAGATTCGTTGCGTTGATTGCTGTTGCTGCTCGGTACCATCTTCATCAAGGGAGAATTTGCCGCATCTTGGCGATACGAACTTCCCGCACGAGGATAGAGCGGGCTTGGGGCTCAAATAGAGTAATCCCTTCACGGAGCATCTTGAAAAGATGAGGTGTCTCGGTCCAAGCGGCACATGCATGTTGGCGGCACGGATTTAGCGCACGCGAAGCGTGCGCACAACGACCAACCTCTTCCCTCAACATTGGCTGGAAAGCTCTGCCGATTATGACATTGGTTAGGACTCATGCAGGACATAGAGTGCCCTCTTCTGACGGCGTAGGTCTTGGACAAAATGGGCATTACGAGGCGTAAGTACGTGGTCGATGATCCCTAATATCCTGCGAACCAGCTTGTATTTGGCGTAGTAGTATTGGTGAGTTGCTGCCGTTCCTTCGCATCAAGGGCTACATCAGATGCAGGGATAGGCTTTGGGCTCGAATCAACACGCAATCTGAGAGTAAAGATTGCGCATCCCTGCATCTAGATCCTACTGAGCTTAACTCCGAAAATCCTAATGCACTGGTCAATTTCCTATCATGCCACTACATCTCGTCGCCAAGGCGGCGCAGTATGTGACACAACAGCAAGTAAAGAATTCTCGGCTGCCCGTGAGTGGCGGATTGAGAACAGTCGCTGCAACGCTTTGATTGTGTGCGTACATGGTAACTAGGGTACTTGTGTTTTCCCAACCAAGGACGATGTTGCGGCGAGGTTTGAAACCATCTCATCAACTCATGATATATACCTTTTACTCGTACCTAGTAATAAAAATTATGAATTGCTAAAGAGAGACTGGTATTCAGTACAGCTATTGCTTAATGAGTCGCCACTCCGGGTTAGTATGATCCTCGGTTGGGAAAATATACCCTTGTTACACCTGTACACTATCTAGCCCTTGCACATGTAGCCCGTGGTCAGTTGAATTGTACCCTGCAGCTAGACGCGATCCTTCGCCTGATTTCGAGGCAATAAATGCAGAGTAAAATGTCGATTTCTTAACGCAGCTACATTCCGAGGCGCTCATCATCTCTTATAAGTGGCCATTGGGTACCATAACCGTCACTTGAGTTACCTCCCCTGCTTTAGACGCATCCTCTTTATCAATCTCGTTGCAAGTCACAGCGCCGCAAAGTATGAAAGCCTCTTTGGTTGTCTCTCTTGGGGCTTTTTCTGCCATTGCTTCTGCACAAGACGCGTTTGAGGCCTCGGACTTTAACGTTGTAGAGGCTCTGGCTGCGAACGGCGTCAACGTCTCCGCCATTCCTGCCCTGGCTGCACTGAGTGAAAAACGTGCTATCTCAACCGGATGCACGGCGGCTGTAAGTCATACTGCTATCTATCAAGGGCATTTTCTGATTCTCAAAAAAGTGCGGTGCCCTCAAAACCATCTTTGGAAACAAGCTTCTCACCAGCGGATCACCCGCGTACGATGCATTCACCAGTGGATACTGGTCTATACAAGCATCTTTGGTGGACCCAGCTTGTGTGTTGAAGCCATCGATAGCGCAAGATGTATCAATCTTGGTACTCATGTCTCGTCTTACTCAATGTCCCTTTGCCGTAAAGGGCGGTGGACATACTGCCTTCCCTGGTGCATCTAACATTCAAGATGGCATCACGGTAAACATGGAGGACATGAACGAAACCACACTCTCCAGTGACCAGAAAACCGCATTCATAGGGCCAGGAAATCGATGGGGGGCGGTATATGAAAAGCTTGGTCAACACAGCCTTGCTGTCATAGGTGGCCGCGCATCAGAGGTAGGCCTTGGCCTCGTTCTCGGCGGGGGTATCAGTCACCAATCCAGTATCTATGGATATGCTTGCGACAACGTGGCTTCCTTTGAAGTCGTCACTGCATCAGGTGGTATCATCACCGTCACCCCAACCATCTACCCAGATCTTTACTGGGCACTTCGTGGAGGTGGGAACAACTTCGGTATAGTCACCCGATTTGAGTTGGAGACAATTTCCCAGGGCTTAATGTGGGGCGGACTCCAAATTCACCCAGAGGCTACTTACCCGCTTCTTATAGATGCCTTTGCTTCGATGGCAGAAGACGCCAACAAAGACCCTAAATCTTCACAGATTCTTTCATTTGCTCTGGGAGCTGGCCAAGCGGCCGCACAAATCCAACTAGAGTACCTCGAGCCTGTAAACAAGCTCAACCCCCCCACTATCCTCAAAAAGTACCTCAATATCACTTCGATACATACCGACACCATGAACAGAACTTTGGCAAATGACACCTCCCTGATAACCGAACAGATGCCCAACGGTCAGCGCTACGCATTCTGGGCTTCTACCTTCAAACTGGATCGGGATCTCATGAACTGGCTCCAAGAACGCCATCGACAGGACTTCACCGCCATGCCCAACAGGGGCTCGCTGACATTCCAAGCCTTCACTGTACCCGCCATGCAAAAGATGAGCAAGAAAGGCGGTAACGCGCTCGGCCTCTCTCCCACGGACGGACCATTGATGCACAGCCTCCTTTATCTGGTCTGGGACGACGCTTCTCAAGACACCAAGATCCAAAGAGCCGCCCAGAATTTCTTGAGTGTTGCAAAGGCAGAAGCAAAGAGACGGGGCAAGTACCACGATTTCATTTACCTAAACTATGCTGGGCCGTACCAGAATGTTATCCCGAGTTATGGCAAGGAGAAGCTGGCTAGGCTCAAGGCTGTCTCTAAGAAGTATGATCCTGTTGGTGTGTTCCAGAAGCTGCAGCCTGGTGGGTTTAAGCTCGAGGGGGCGCCATATGGGGAGAAAATTTGATCTGAATGAGGCCAATTTTGTGTAGTATTCGTTGATAAAGTAGAATAAGAATCCATCATTGTGTTCGTTATACTCGTAGTCGCGTACAGAGGAGGACATGGCGCTACGCCACTCCCTAGTCCAAATATAGCAAGGTTCCTCATGCCCGACCAGTGAGCGTGTTGTTATTCTGCCCCCACACCTTACTACTTGCAACTGCAGCAACATCTCCTGCACACCAACAGCCCACCTCATCATGTGAGCAGCCAAGGATTATGCACGTCGTCAGGCTGAGCGGCTACTCAGCTGCGGCGCCAACAACTCACCTCTACCATCCTTGATGTACTACAATTATTCTCGTCTCTACCTCTATTATGACAACACATGGCACGCCAGCTGCGACCCGAAGACTACACAGTAGGATGGGTGTGTGCACTGCCTGTCGAGATGGTGGCGGCGCAGGAGATGCTTGACGAGGAGCATGCTGGCCTGGAGCACAACCTACTATCTGACAATGACAAGAATCTGTACACGCTAGGCTCTGTCGGCGGTCACAACGTCGCCATTGTATGCCTGCCTGCCGGTCGGATCGGCAATAACTCAGCAGCCGTAGCGGCAACCCGAATGCAAGCAACGTTTAAAAACATTCAGTTTGGGTTGATGGTCGGCATTGGTGGCGGCGTTCCGAGTTCTGAAGCAGACGTTCGGTTAGGTGATGTTGTTGTCAGCCAGCCCCACGGGAATCTTGCTGGTGTAGTACAGTATGATATGGGGAAAACAACACCAGGCGGCTTTGAACGAACGGGATCAATGGATGCACCACCGGAGGTGCTGTTAGCAGCTGTCGCGCGCGTAAAGGTGAACGACCTGCGTGGCAGAAGCAAGCTGTCTAAACATATCTCCAAGCTGGAAAGCATCACCAAGTTTCGACGCAGCAACGCAGGGATTGATATACTTTTTGAAGCAACACACGACCATGTCGCAGGGCAGACGTGCGATAGGTGCAGCCCTGACAGACAGGAGGCTCGACAGGCACGCCCTATCGGGGAGGAAGTAGTGGTACACTACGGCACTATCGCATCTGGCAACCGAGTGATACGGAGCGCTGCTGAACGAGACAAAGTCAGCGTTGGGCTCGACAAAGTACTGTGTTTTGAGATGGAAGCAGCAGGGCTACTAAATAGCTTTCGCTGTCTCGTTATACGCGGTATCTGCGACTACGCAGACTCACATAAAAACAAGCTGTGGCAGCCGTACGCAGCAGGGACTGCGGCCGCATATGCGAAAGAAGTTTTGTTAGCGGTACCGCCGGCAGAGCTGTCCAAGCCAAATATGGTGGAAAAAGTCGTGAGAGAGACAAGTGGTAAGTGTTGCCGCAGCTATCTTATTTCACGTCTTGTAATAGCGCACTGATGCCACAGCAGGAAACGTACCCAAACCTAACTACCACATACCCTTTCTTATCAATCGACGCTTTGTTGGACGAAAAACAGAGCTTCAACTCTTGCAGAAAAGGCTAATGATGGACCAGGACTGCCAGGAGCTGTCCATTGTGGGGCTTGGTGGGACAGGCAAGACGCAGTTGGCGTTGCAATTTGCATACAGCGTGAAAGACCAATGGCCAGATTATTCAATCTTTTGGGTGCCTGTCCTGAGCATGGAGACCTTCGAGCAGGCATGTGTAAGCATCGCAAAGATTTTGGGTATACGGCAGGTGTCGGACGACAAAGAAGACATCAAAGAGCGAGTGAAACAATGGTTGAGCTCAAGTCGAGCAGGGCGGTGGCTGATGGTGGTGGACAACGCTGACGACCCTAGTACCTTGTTCAAAACAGCAGAGTCACACGGCATCATTGACTATCTACCAAAGAGCGAGAACGGTATCATACTGTACACAACACGCACGATGGAGGTAGCGGTATCGTTGACACAGTACGATGTTCTGGAGCTGGAGGCCATGGATTCTCGGGACGCGATCAAGTTTTTCTCCAGCTCAATAATCAGGAAAGAGCTACTCTGTGACCACGCGGCGAGAGACGAGCTACTAGAAGAGCTAACACGGCTACCGCTGGCCATCGCGCAGGCGGCTGCGTATCTGAATATGAATCGCATGACAATAAAAAAATATCTTGGATTACTGCACAATACCGAAAAAGATCTTATCGGTCTACTAAGCAGAGACTTTCGTGACAACACGCGATACAAAGGCTCAGTGAACGCAGTGGCGACCACGTGGGTGGTGTCGTTCAGCCAGTTACGCGAGCGCGATACATTTGCGGCAGATTTGCTTGAGTTTATATCCTTTATAGAGTGGAAGGCCGTACCACGGTCCTTGCTGCCAAAGAAAGATTCTGAAGAGGAGATGGAGAGAGCCATTGGCACGCTGTGCGGATACTCCTTTCTAGTAAGACGCAATAGTAACAGTCAAGGCACACAGGAAGAGAGCGAAGAACATACAGAGACAAAGGAGGAAGAGTGGTACGACATCCACCGACTTGTGCACCTAGCGACACGGACCTGGGTCAAGAAGAACGGCGATGCAAACAAGGTAGTGGAGGGTGCAATCCGGCATGTTGCACATGTCTTTCCGGACGGAAAATACCAGAACCGGGCCGTTTGGAGAGCGTACTTGCCGCACACGCTCCAGTTGCTTAACGGCAGGCAGCACGGCAATATAGAGGACCTTTCTGAGCTGTTTCTACGAATGGGGGTGTGTCTGCGAATAGATGGCAGGTATCGGGAGGCGTTGGCATGGCTGGAAAAGTCATGTCAACAGAGAGTTCACCTTAGTGAGGATGACCCAGACCGCCTATACTCACAGTACAACCTCGCGGTAACATATACACACGATGGATTCCCGCAAATTTCAATACCACTATTGGAGCGTATAGTACAAATAAGAAAGAAGACTTCATCCTCAGAGGCTCCAAGCCTATTCAGATCGCAGGAACAACTCGCACTAGCATACAATCTCTACAAACAGGGGCACAAGGCGATCGCGCTTCTAGAAGACGTTATTAAAGTAGCGGAGAAAACGTTAGCTCCAGAGAACGAAGGGCTAATATCATTGCAAGAGAGCATAGCAATAACATACCAGGACTGCGATCTATCGCACAAGGCGTTCCCACTTCTAGAAAAAGTTGTCAAAACTAGAGAATGGACGCTGCCGCCAGAGCATCCAGATCGACTGGGCTCGCAGTACTTCCTCGCACAATTGTACGTTTCTGACGGACAGACACAAAGAGCAGTCCCGCTCCTGGAACATATCGTGAGCGTGGAAGATAAGACGCTGGAGCCAGAGCATCCGCATCGAATGCCATCGCAGCTTGCGCTCGCGGTAGCATACTATAAGCTTGGGCAGGTGTACAGGGCAGTGGCACTACTGGAGAGCGTTGTCGCTATTGGCGCTCGCACGCTGCGAGATGATCATCCTTTGCGGCAGGAGTCGGTCAAGTCGTTGAATTTTATGCTTGCAGAGCTGGATGCGAGCAAGGATGAAACATCAAATCCATCCGGTGAGGGAGATCCTGGAGATGGTTCCAGTAAGCAGGGCGCCTAGCAGCGTAAAAATCAACAGTTTCCAAACTGGGCAACGTCAAATACTTGGGTTACTTACTCATCGCGAAGATCGAATACCGAAACGATACCCTTTTTTACGTTTTATAACGCAAGAGAAGAAAGACATGCACGACCCCCCAAGTCAAACAGAATGACAATCATGTTGCTGTTAATTCTCATTTCCTCACTTAGCATTGCATGAGTGAACGAACAAAAAGAATTCTAGTTGCAAACAAAAGTAATCCAGACTTTGATTGCTAAACACTGAAATCTAACTCGAGACAACAATGAAAAAGATCGTGTATATTCCTTCACATCCTACTTCTCTACAGACAAGATAGACAGATAGATCATCATGCCTTCTCCTCAGTAGACTTGCTGACGACCGGCTCATCTACTTTCTTGCTGTCAGATTCAGCACTCTTGACGTTGCCTCCGTCTACTGCTTCTGGACCTGATCCAGGAAAGGCACCAGGGGCGTCAGCGGAGCCAGGTGCTTTCTCCGTCACCACGGGCTCCTCTAGCTTCAAGGCAGCTGAGACCTTGGATGTAAATGACTCAAGAGTGCCTGATGCCACAGAGGACACTTGCTCAGACAATGAAGCATTTTCAGTCTTCGTCTCAGTCTTTGCCTCGGTTGCAGAAGCAGGTTGAGCCTCGTCCTTTGACAAAGTTTTGGTCAGTTGCGGCTTTTCTGATTCTGGCGCAACACTCTCATCCACTGCAGCCTTGGTGGCGACGGGCTCTTCAGCCTGTGCAGGAACATTGAGCGATTTCTGTATCTGCACAGCCATCTTGGCAGCTGGGACGTCCAGGCTACCGTCTTCAACAAAACTCCAAATTGCAGTCACAGGGCCAACGCTCAGTTTCTGAGCTGGCACGGCAGCCGCAGCAGCCGCACCGCCTGGGGCTGGAGAAGAAGCAGGCTTCCTCCTCTGTGGACCCTTGGCCCGACTCTTTCGAGCATCTTGCAGCGGTGCTGCCTCCTTTTCTTCCACTTCCGGCTCAGGCTCCTTAACTTTGGGAGGACCCTGTGGCCCTAGACCAATTTTGCTGTTGAGGTCTTTGAGGAAGCCGGCTTGGAGAGCAGCAATTTTGCCTCCAGCTGGACGACCAGTCAGCACTGATTTCGCCTTATGCGGAGAAGCTTCGTTCTCGCTGGCTTGTGACTGCGCACTTGAACCATTTTCTGAAGGGCCAGTAGATGACTTGGTTGGGCGTGCTGAGGCATGCCCCCTTGGGCGTTCGGGGACGATTGGTACTCTCGTCCCCCCCGCAGGTGACTCCTTTCTGACAGGTCGGGCAGGGATAATAGGCTGAGCAGGGGCGGAGGATTTCTGATCCTGGGGGGAATCTTCGGCGTACTCGTTCGTTTCCTCCATCTGTGGCGTGCTGACCGTGGTCTCTAGGTATCCGTGTGACGGCGCGTCTTCCCAGATGTCCTGACTTGGGAAACGTTGCTGCATACCGGGGCGACCTGGTGTCTCGTCTCGCACTTTTCCAAGAAGCTTGTTTTCGGCAGCAAATTGCTTCGTATGATCCGAAAGGAATGACTTTTGATCTTCCTCAGTGATCTGACGCTTGCGTTGCTCTTCTGTTTCTGGGCTTTCAAATGCTTTGGCAGGACTGACATCTCCTTTGCTGACGGCGGTTTGAGGCTCTTCAGGCTCCTGGGGAGTATCAACGGTAGTCTCGAGCTGCAGACTACCAGGCGTGTCCTCCCAAACATCTTGGCTTGGGAAGTGGTGGCGAGCATAGCTAGGACGCTTGACCTCGTCAACCTTTGAGTTTGGCTTCTTGGTCTCTTCATCCTCTGGGAAGAGCGGTTCATATTCTTTATGGGACTCAAGCGGAGTGCTGCTATGTTCGTACTGGGCTGGGCTCGGAATCACGCGTTGCTGTTGTATGCTCCTGTTCCTACTTGAGCTCCTACTGGAGGTGCGCTGCTTGGTGAGGTACTGTGACGCGCCGTCCTCATTGGCAATGTATTCATTGCCGTGGCGCTCAAGCTCAGGTGACACGGCAGGTTGCCTCCACTCAGCATCTGGGTGCTTCTTGAGTTCATCAGAGGCAAGGATAGGTGTACCATATCCACGCTCGGTAACCCATCCGCCCTCAGCAGCAGTGTTACCGCCTCGCGGTCCAAGGTCTGCAGTAGGGGGGTCGTAACCTCCACCATGAACCTTACTAGAACGGTGTGTAGGCGGATCAATATGAATGACTTCTCCCTTGTCATTCACCTCTTGGCCGGCCTCGTTACGGAGCGGGGAGTCAGCGTGGCGAGTTTTGTTCAAAGAAGTCACACCAGAAGATTGCGGTCTGGGAGAAGCCATCCTTGAGGCATATTCCTCGGTGGCCCTGTAACCAATCTGCTCATCAGGAGTTCCAACGACGTCCCGGCTAGTGCCTGCACAACAAGGTTAATATCAAATGCATATTCGTCTGATAGGATCAAGTTGCGTACCCACTCCGACGTCTTGCGACCTTGTGTGCACAAGCTTTTCCAGGTTGTCCGCGCCCCAGTGGTAGTCTTTTCTGTTTTCCTGGATGTGAGGGCCATACTCGCCCGCCTTCTCACGCTTCAAATCGTCCGGATGCTTTTCGTACCACTTTTGCTCAAATTCGTCTGTCGATATCTTGCCATGGCCGTGCATGCCATAGCTGCCAGGAGGTCCGTGAAAGATCTCGCGACCGCTCTTTGTACGCCCATGATGACGACCACTGGGTTTCTGATGGAAGCCAACTCCTTGAGATCCGGGCTGTTGCGCAAATGGAGCCGGGCTTGGAGCCTGCACATCTCCGGCATTGCGAAACATGGGCACCTGTACGCCAATCTCTGGAATACCATGCTCATCCTGATCGTTGTAGATTGAGCTAGGGCGTGAACCAGCTGACGAGCCAGAACGGCCAGACTTTGCTTGCGAAACCTTGTCATCAACTGACAGTTGCGAGCCAAAGCCAGCAGCGGCTGCTGTTTGCGAATCGGTCCGCGTCACAGCCTGAATCCGTGTTTTTGCGGTGGAGCTCGGAACTGAGGCAGTCGGAGCATGCAAGGGCAAGTCGCCTGCAACATTCTTGGTATGCTGTGGAGAGCCACCCTGGTTGTCTTCATTGAGAGTCTTGGACAAGTCCTCGAAACTGGCGTATTCAGTGCCTTCCTCTCCGAGCGAGGGCATAGAGACACTGGGAGGACGAGAGGGCACCTCAGTGCTGAGGCGATGGCTATCTTTTGGTGGACCACCGGGTACATAGGTGGGATCGTTGAGCGGGGAGGGGGCATATCTGTCCCCGCTTGGAGAGACGGAGCGGTCCATGCCGCGGTTCGGACGAGGGGGGATCTTGGGAACTTCCATATGGCTTCCCGGCGCCGGCGAACGGCTATTCTGGGAGCGCGATGGGCGTGGAGGTATTGTTGGTTGAGCGGTCATTGTGTGCTTCGCCGTTGCTCGAGGGCTATGTGGGGTAGAGATGTTGCGTTGGCTGCGGGGAGTCTTGGAAGGCTGAGAGAAAATCAATGTCAGTGACAGGTAAGACACGGACTGGTTGTTTGATACGTCGAGCGTCAGACAGACAGCGGCATTGACAACAGTGAAGAAACAGACAAATGTAGAGAAGTGGTCAGCCAGCTCCACTGAGCTATAGCCAGCCAATGAGGGGCAGTGCAAATGAGAGCCCGAATGCTGCGGGACAGGGCGAGGTTTTATAGTGCAAACTCACCGCACGACACGCAATTAGGCCCGACACTCAAAGTGAGGCTAAAGAGGAAAATTGGATGGTTCGGTATGGTGTTGCCAAATGGCGCAGAGTGGATTGGCGTGGTGAACCTGGGGTGGTGGATTTAAGTAGTAGACAGCTCTGCGACCCGCATTTGCATCATGCCTGGATATGGCGCATGGGGCCCTGGCGTCTGGCGTCTGGCGTCTGGCACGCGGCAACCATCATCAGCGCCCGCGGTATGCATGCGCATTTTGGTGACTTGGCTTTATTTGCTCTGTCGTGTGCTTCCCAGTATTTGCATTGAGTTGACAAAAAAAAGACGAAGAAGAACATGTCACTTCCGCAAACGCTGTCCATCCATTGTGCCTGTCGCGTTGGACATGAACATCAGAGGTGCCCAGCCACTATGCCGCATCGAGGACTATGCGACTTCAACAACAACTACGTGGAGGCTTTCGAGCCTGGCAAACTTGGGCTATCCACAATTATCTCGTTAGCCTTATGAAGTGTCCGGTCAAGCCAACGCGACTGGACTCTGCAGGACGAGGACGCTTCTTATCAACTGCGCGCCATACTGCAGACTCTTCAATGATGTGTGCGACTCCCGGCACGAAAAAGCCGCTAGTGTTCCCCGCGCCGAGAAAGTGTGGTTCCTGGCGAATCCCTAGCAGCCACTCATCGGCATGCACAAGGGCGAGCAGAGCCTAGGTCTAGGTCAACGGCAGTAATCCTTCTTTGCTTTTGAGCCCAGCGCATCCCTTCACATGCCATCTGTCCTGCGTTATCCGTGAGTAGAGCATGGTCTGCTTACATAGGATGAAAAGATTGAACAGCGTCACCACCCCCAGTATGTGGATGGGAATGCAAGCTTCTAGAACTTTGCAGGCCTTCCAATAGGCCCTGCACAGTCTCCACATGTGCAGTTACGTATGTTCCCCCGCCTTGGGCTACTACTAGTACTTCATGACCAATATTCGACTGTCAAACGCACAGCACAGAAATGAAAATATAGTATCGCATTCTCGTGCCTCTAAGTTTGGCCATACGCCTTCGGCTTCAGGCAATCCCTGTGATAGATATCTCCCAATAACGCCTGGCTTTTCACCCGTGATACAAACAGATTCAATCGTGGCCCGACACCAGGATGCGGCTGTTATGGCAGAATCCATTTCGCCCTCGGTCCCTGTGTGTATTCCAAAACAGGTTGTACATTCGCAATCGTTGCCCACATCTACCACATTCTCATCCAATCTCTCATCCTGTTCCCGCCATGTGAGTCTCTTCTTTAGATGATCATCTGTGCAACGCCCTGTCCACCAAGTGTCTTGCTGCCCTGGAACTGCTGGCCCTTGATGCCGGCAAGCGCATAGAAGACTGCAGCAAGCATCAGGAAGATGGCTGCGACAATCAAGCTCGTGGCCATAGGCCAAATGCTGATCCATTGTATAACGCTCATCACACCATAGATGGCAGCGCGCATATAGTTGGAGCTGAATTTGCGGATGAATTCGTCGAATTTCGACGAGGTTGGACAGATGCGAAGAAGGAGCGGTATCTCAATAAATATAATGACGAAGGAGCACACCCTACGACGTTGATTAGATCGTTAGGCCCAGTGCGCCACAAGAGGTAGGAGCCGTACAAGCATACGATGCTGAACGCAATGACAAAGTTGGCGTGGAAGATGTTGGCGATACCCAGCGCAAAGCATAGGAATATACATAGGACTCCGGTCCTAGACGTGGAGTTAGCGGACACGGTCGGAGAGCAATGGAGGTGCGTGGCATAGTAGTCATGATGGTGCTTGAGTCCACCACACCGTGTAGTGGTCTGATGGTCTTCCAACACCGCTCATGCTTGGCGATTCCCCCTGACAGTATCTTGGTGATGTCTGTGGGAAGCCTGGGTGGCCTGTGGAAAGATGGTGAGGGGACGCGACTGACCATTGTCCGTAGATACCTTCAAAGATGCCATGTCAGCAACATTGCAACAGCGCCAGCGCCAGCGGCAGTAGCAGCAGCAGATAGCTTACTGAAATTTCGCGACTTGAACTCTTCTGCGAGCGTCATGTTTGCTTTGGAATCAAACCTCGTGGGAGTTCAGCTGTAAGTATAGGGCAATGTCGAGTGCAGTCTGGGTCGGTTTGTTGACGGCGCAAGCTGTGTGGACGGAGCTACTGTAAGACGGATTGGACGAGCGTCAGTGTCGGTTTTGTACAAAGTGGGCTGGGTTGGTGGTGTGGGTTGCGAGTGCGTAATGTAGTTGTGGCGGTGCAGTAGAGCAGGTGTATAGGCGTGCGGTATAGCGGAGTGGGTGGCTGCCTGCTTGTTGCGATGGCAATGATTACGGTTGCTTGCTTCTTCTAGGTATGCTCAGCCCTCGGTCGGCGCGGCCTCCACGTAAACTAGAGCGGCTAGCGCTTGCCGAAACCGTCTTGGATCGGAGCCACGCAGACAAATCACCGACGTGCACTTTCTGTTTCAGAACATCTCTCACAGTCGCAGCTGCCTCACACGCACGGGGAATGAATGCTATTTTGAAGGGGAAGCAGCCATGGCAGGCTCTTGCGCTGGCCTCTGCTGGCCTCGGCCTGGCCCTCTTCTACCTCTTCGCGCAACAATCGCTCACGCCAAACAACCCATCTCACTCCACTGCGCTCCAACAAGACCGCCAAGACAACGAAGCGGTTCACACGGCAGACGACATGGGTCCGGAGGAGAGGGCGTATCATGAGGGCTTCATGCGCGAGGCCATCGCCATGGTAAAACAACCCCTGCACACGCCACACACACCCACGTCTGCTCCAGCATACTTACATTCATACACCATATCCAACATACTTGAATGCTGACTCATCCCTTGCGCTAGGCCGAACTTGCACTCAAGAGCGACGAGACGCCTGTTGGCTGTGTCTTTGTCAAGGATGGCCAGGTCATTGGTCGAGGCATGAACGAGACCAATCGTACTCTCAATGGCACCAGACACGCCGAGTTCGTGGCCATTGCTGGTATCCTGTCTGAGTATCCCATCTCTGTTCTCAACGAGACAGATCTCTATGTCACCGTTGAGCCGTGCGTCATGTGCGCGTCAATGCTCCGTCAGTATGGCATTCGCGCAGTCTACTTTGGATGCTGGAACGAGCGCTTTGGTGGAACAGGAGGGGTGCTCAAGATCCATTCTGAGTACGCCAACCCTTGAAGACCCACACCCACATCACCATCACTAACCCTTCGATAGTCCCAGCGTCGACAAGCCATATCCTGTCACCGGTGGCATCTTTCGAGAGGAGGCAATTATGCTGCTGCGGAAGTTCTATGTCCAGGAAAACGAAAAGGCGCCCGAGCCCAAGCAGAAGAAGACTAGAGAGTTGAAGACCGAGATCCTGCCTATGGATGTCCATCAACCAAAATCGACACCCTCATCTACTACCCACGCGCCCGGCCATTTTGCTTCCACCGGGTCCATTCCCACTCTTACTTCCTTGGTCAAGACGGTTGTCCCTGCGCCAGCCGAGTCCCGTCCAGCATCAGCTTCCACGGCTTTTGCCTGAGGAATCCCATGACGCATGCATACTTACACCCAACATGATAGATGATTTGACATCAACCTGATGATATGGAATGTACGATAGCTCACGACCCTTACCTTGAATATGAAGACTGTTCTGGCGGATTGCCTGCTAGTGCTGTCATGTGAGGATCGTGCACGCGATGAAAGACATTGTAGCCGGAAGCAGATATCACATAGGATAGTAACGTGAACGGGCAATGTATATACCCCCTTTTTTAACAAGGCATCTATTTAGACGTCCTGCTTGTCTAGTCCTTATTTCTCTCCACCACCTGCGGCTAGCTGAACAAGCAGGAAGAGAGCAATAGCCCACCAGTACCTGCATAGTTGTCAGCATATTTTCCCCTAATAACAATCGCAGCTCTACCCACTTTTGCAAGAATGTCTTCTCTGGCTCTTCTCCACCCAGCTTTCCTTCGGCATTCAATACAATAGGCTTGTTCAGTACCGGCTTCGGTCCTGTATCCTTCCTCTTTATCTCAACTTCTACCTCTTTTCCACTGCCTTTTGCACTTGTACTGAACCCAACGTGAAAAGGCTCGCCCTTCTCGTCAACGTGGATGACAATCTTCTTGTGGTATTGCTCGGAGAAGCTCGCCGCTGAAGTCACAACGCCATATAACGAGGTCGATTTTGGATCGGTGAGACCGACACGTAATAAGCGGTCGGCGGAGTACGAGCCCGTTGGGGGTGTATATGAGACTAGGGTGCCGACTGGTTGATCCGCATCGTAGTCGATCTGTGCGAGGGGTACTGGTGAAGCGATTGCAGCCGTACCCTCAGAGGCAGGAACAGGAGCGACATAGAGCGTCACCGAAGATGCAACTGCAAGGGGCAGTAAAAAAAGTCTGGAGAATAGCATACTGACGTGCTCATGTAAACGGCGACTATAGTGTACGCGCATTGGTGTTGGAAGCCGAAGCTTGGCTAGCGTACAACGGCGAATCGTATCACCGAAGAGCATTCACCGGCATGCATGGGACCCTCGGTTTTACTACCAACCCCTCCTCACTCCACGTCTCACGAGCCGCGTAGACATTGACTCATGCTGCTCCTCCGCTTGTCCCGGAATTGCACCGATAAGTCATTCCCAAGACTCAAACTTGCCTCTGGGTGGCGTTGCGGGCATCCAACAGCGGCCGGTATACCAAAAGAAGTGGATCCGAAAGTGACGATGCCCACCTCCCTACAACCCTTTCGTGACCAGATCGGCACTTGACCCGCGACCCTAGATGCCAGTAGCCGGATTAGATGGAATATCTAAGCAACTAAGGGCTGTCAATTGCCCCACCCCCACCATGCTAGAGCTTCCCCCGAGCTATTATGAGCTCATCCCGCATTTACAGCTGTCGATTGCTCAACATTATCTTGTCGAAGTACAAGTTCTGCTAATCTCCTGTTGTTTCTCTCCTCCTGTGTCCTTGTCCTTTTGCGCGCACAAAAACACAAATTATGGCTATTCCATTCAGACAGACGCAGCGCCAGCAGTCGCGGCAATTGTCGACTGACCCTCGCAATGAGCTCCACCCTCAAGTCGACCACTACATTGGGATTGATGTGGGTACTGGTAGTGCCAGAGCTTGCATCATGAACGACCAAGGCGATATTGTAGGACTGGCATCAGAAAACATTGGTCTCTGGCAGCCACAAACTGGTTATTATGTAATTTACGCTGCTGCAGGTACAAACGTTAGCCAAAACTAAAACGACGCAGGAACAATCCACGACAGATATTTGGCGATGCATCTGCTCTTCAGTCCGTCGAGCAATAGATCAGCACAACATCGACCCGAGCACCATTCGTGGCATTGGCTTCGACGCCACATGCTCCCTTGCTGTCTTCAGGGACGACACTGACGAACCTGTCCCGGTTACCGGGCCCAACTTCGATAACAAAGACGGCAATGACCGCAACGTCATTCTTTGGCTCGACCATCGTCCTGTAGAGGAAACAAATAAGATCAATGCTACCAAGCACAATCTACTTCGATATGTTGGAGGCAAAATGTCAATTGAGATGGAGATTCCAAAAGTGCTTTGGCTCAAGAACAACATGCCAAAAGAGTTATTCGATCGTTGCAAGTTCTACGATCTAACGGACGCCCTTACACATCTTGCCACTGGAAGCGAGAGCCGGAGCTATTGCAGTGTTGTCTGCAAGCAAGGCTTCGTACCAGTCGGCGTTGACGGAAGTGTCAAGGGATGGCAGGAGGATTTTCTCAAGGAAATCGGTCTTGAGGAGCTATGCGAGGACAACTTTAAGCGCATGGGAGGTGTTGATAATGTGGTTTGTCCATCGCTTTGAGATGTCTAGAGCGCAACTAACCCTCTGGCAGAATGGACGTTATCTCACTGCCGGTGAGCTCGTCGGTACGCTCAGCGAAAAGGCTGCACAGGAAATGGGCCTTCAGCCGGGTATCGCAGTCGGCAGCGGCGTCATCGATGCTTATGCCGGTTGGATTGGTACTGTTGGGGCCAAGGTCAAGCTCGACGAGGACACACTCGATATGGATCAGCCCAAGAACGACGTTTCCCAAGCCTTTACACGTCTTGCCGCCGTTGCAGGAACCTCTACCTGCCATCTCGCCATGTCCCGCGACCCCGTTTTTGTGGACGGAGTATGGGGCCCATACCGAGATGTGCTCTTACCAGGCTACTGGATGGCAGAGGGTGGACAGAGTGCAACAGGTGAGCTACTCAAGCACATAATCGAGATACACCCTGCTTTCAACGAGGCTGTCTCTGTTGCTGAAACTTACAACACGAACATCTACGACTACCTGAACGAACACTTGCGGGAAATGGCCGACAATGAAAAAGCACCGCATATCTCTTGGCTCGGCCGCCACTTTTTCTTCTACGGCGACCTTTTTGGAAACCGCTCACCTATAGCTGATCCCAACATGAAGGGATCTGTCATCGGTCTAAGCTCCGACAAGAGTCTTGACAGTCTAGCACTGTACTACTATGCCACAATGGAGTTCATTGCCCTACAGACACATCAAATTGTTTCGGCGATGAACAAATCAGGACATGTCATTTCATCTATATTCATGTCTGGGTCGCAGTGCCAGAACAGCCTACTCATGGAGCTCATGGCCACGGCATGCGACATGCCTGTGCTCATCCCACGATACGTACATGCGGCTGTTGTGCATGGCGCAGCTATGTTGGGCGCCAAGGCCGCCAGTACAGACAAGGATGGCAAGAGCGAGCCGCTGTGGGATATCATGGATCGGCTCAGCAAGCCTGGTAAAACAGTAAAGCCGTTGGCTGACAAGGCAGTCAAGAAGCTGTTGGATGCCAAATACAAGGTCTTCTTGGAGCAATGCGAGGGACAGCAAAGGTACAGGAATGAGGTTGATGCGGCAATCCAGGGATGGAAGAGCACTTAAAGGAACCGTAGTGGAAGCCGTGTCCGTCGGAAGTGTAATTAGAAGTATGCTCTAGATACCATGTCCTATCTCGACAGTTTTCAAAAGGCCATGCTTAACGGCTGTTGTAGTGCGACCCTATGCCTATGTTGCCAAAGGAAAAAGCCATATTCCGGTTTCTCAACCCGCTTCATCCGTGTATCGTAAGGGACTAACATAACCTCTCTTCAAGGGACTTTTTTTTTCGCTCATCGCCATTGTTCGTGAAAGGGTATCGTGTGTGATGGATTTAAAGAAGACTTGTCAAAATGATGTGTGATTTAGTAGCGACGGCGCGGGCCTCGTGGTGGGTCGCGATGACCACTTTCGTTGAAGCCATATCGTCCATCTTGGAAGCTACCAGCTCGTGCGCCTGTGTCGATTTCCATGTCATCGGCTGATTGGGTCAGACGACCAGCTGGGGCTCGGGACAGCGACAGATGGGTGCTCGCAGGGACGTCCTTCATGTATACGTAGAGAAGTCTGCCATCAGCCTGTACACTGCATTAGTCTCGCTCCGCTCGGAACCCTGCATAGACCGACCTTTTGGTTGTTGAACGTCGCAATGACATTCTCGGCTCCTTCCCTGGTCGCAAACTGAAGCTCCACCATGACCGTTGGGCTTGCGGACAAAAGCTTGCATCCTAGAGTCTCTCCTCCAATGGGGCTCATGACAGCCTCGATATCGGCGGCTGTTGTCCCGGGTGCAAAGTTGCTCGCAATGACGGTGCATGGTCCTCCGTTTGCAACACCTCGGATGCTGATACCCGCACCATCGTTGCTGCGTGCGCCCGCACCCCGGTTGAGCGACGAGGCGAACTTGTCAAATGTCCTTGTGTTGCGCTCGACTTGCGACGCCGACGCCGTTCGCGCAAGGTGGTTCCTGGTGTTGGCTGCGCCGCGGGGATTGTTCAGCTTGTGCAGGTCGTGTTGCCATTTCCCGTCGATGCTGCCGGCTGGCTTCGCACTCGCCGATCGCTTTTGAACACCAGCACTACCGTTTATGCGACTGAGAAGAGACGGCTTCTCAGAATCGACCCGCGGCTTTGCGCCCGCACCGGAAGCATTGGGTTTCCGGCCACGGCTTCCGCCGCCGAGGAACTGCTGGGCGAGCGTCTCGTTCTTCTTCTTCTCCCGCGTCTGCTTGACAAAGTCGTCAAATGATACAGTTGTCGATGCGACCATGATGGGCGGTTGCGGTTGGTTGAAATTGGTGGTGAGGCGGGAGTGGGCTGGGGTGTTGGAAGGAAAGCGCGTGGATGTCGACCTAAGAATGGCCGGTGAGCGCGTCAATGGAGACAACAGCGCTATGGTAAACGCTCGGACCACATGGCTGCCCCGGCGAAACAAAAAACCCGCCGCGAAAAGTTCCCGTACAAAAGTTGGAAGCTCGACGGCTTCTTCTCTTCACTACACAACGCAACGTCTGGTAAGTTCATAACCCCCTCTACTTTTCTTTCGCGTCACCGCTATCATGATGAACATACGTGTCGCCCCTATCATACACTACATGGTGATCGACCACCCAAGCCAAATGGGAAAACTGATATCTTCAACCTTTTTTGAATTGTTGCAAAGAAGCTATCCGCGAATCAATGCTAACTGATTCCAAGGATTCCAGACAAATGCGATTGTTCACCACATGCTGGCGCAATGCATGCGCTGGCGCGGCCTCGTAGTGGCTTACCCATCATAGCTTCGCGAAGCCTTCTACATACCCGGCGCATTCACTGCATATGGCACGATTTTTGCAAGCACAACAGTGCGCTCGATATGTGGAGGGCTTCTTGGAGCTATGACTGGATAGAAAAGGTTAGAATACACTCCAACACCCCCAACACCCGTTCTCAATGATGAGCAATAAGTGTATTATCAAATACCGACCTACCCATGGGGAACAAATTAGTTCGATTACCTGAATGGCTTTTTACACACAATCTTCAGTCGCAACATTTGTACATGTGACATGTAGCTGACTCGATTTCAGGTATCTGATAGACTTTTGATTACTCACTACTTTCGACGACCAGTTGTTTGTAAAAAGGTAAATACTTATTTTGTTCTGCCTGTATGCTATGATGAACACCAATTCATGCTAACTCAGAGGGGTTCGCCCCACTGATTGACACACTTTTCGAGACTTTTCATCTTTCGACTGATTGCTTCTTTTACTTGAATCCCTGCACGTCACAATTGGGTGTAGTTTGTGCTAATGAGGATGCAGATTGCTTTGTTACTCATTGCGATGAGCTGCTACTAGCCCTGCGAACATCGTTCCTGCCTATAGAGAAGACGCTAGATTGCGGTGTTGCATTGGTCGATGCAAGAAACGCCGAGGCACGTTCAGTATTGGCGTGGGCCAGGGAGGGTGGACGATGTAGGCAGGCGCCATCATGCCCTCAAGTTTAGAAGTTTATAGCTTGACCAAAAGATCATGTATGCAACATTTTCCAAATGTGCCATTGCCATATTGAATTCCCCAGTTCAATCGTATACCCGATATGCTTGAGAACGCGTGTCTTCATTGACAGGTGGGGAACACGTGAACGCGCGTCTTCGTATTGCGGTTTCGGAAACTATAGCGTGATTACCGTTGTCCTTTTAACATCCCCAAATACACTATACAAACAGCACATTGCAACCACAGAATTTGAGACATTCGCAAAATGGCAGCAAACCCAGAAGAGACCAAGGCGATAACTGCCGAAGGCGCAGGACTCCTCAATGAGGCAACTCCAGAGAAGCAGCCCGAGTCCAGTCCAGCGGTCGAGTCCACCGATAAAAAGGAGGGCGCCAAGGACGTGGACAATGCGACTGTCGGAGTAGCTGATCTCTCCGTCTCTGAAAAGAAGGAAGAGGAGAAGGAGGTAGAGAAGGTAGAGGCGGAAGAAAAGAAGGAAGAACCAAACGAGGAACCAAACGAGGAACCAAACGAAGAACCAAAGACAGAAGTCAAAGAGGAAGAGGCAAAGGAGGAGAAAAAGGAGGAGAGCAAGGAGGAGAGCAAGACGGAGGGAGCACCACTGGCTGCTACTAGTACTAGCACAACAACGCCTGCCGTTGCAACTCCTACTAGCGATACGCATCCTGAAGCTAGCACCGTCGAACCCACCACCGGCCCCGTATGGCCCGAGACGGCGCCCGAGCATCCTCTGACCAAGTTCTACGACGCGTTCGAAGCGCTCGTCAGCGAAGCGCAGCACAGCGAGGTCTACGGCATCGAGCTCAGCAAGTCCAACGCGTTCCACACCAAGCTCATCCTGCAAAAGTTCCTGCGCGCCAACCAGAATGACCTGAACAAGGCCAAGGCGCAGCTCCTCGAGACGCTCAAGTGGCGCAAGTCGTTTGACCCCGTCAAGGCTGCCACCGAGACATTTGACAAGGCACGGTTCGAGGGTCTGGGCTACGTTCTTGAGGTTGAGGGTGTGCCTGAGAGCCCGAATAAGAAGGATATTACTACGTTTAATGTCTATGGTGCTGTCAAGGATAACAAGGCTACGTTTGGGGATCTAGACGGGTAAGTTTTCTGATGTTTACTCTCCTCACACATTGCGTGTTAGAGGAAAAAGGAGGAAGAAAGAGAAACAAAAGGCTAACGAGTAAACACAGCTTCCTCCGCTGGCGCGTAGGCCTCATGGAAAAATCCGTCCAAGCCCTCTCCCTCTCCACCGCCACAACCCCGATCCCCAACTACGGCGAAGGCCCGGACCCCTACCAAGGCTTCCAAGTCCACGACTACCTCCAAGTCTCCTTCATCCGCCGCGACCCCCTCGTCAAAGCCGCCACCAACAAGACAATCGAGATTCTAGGCCGCCACTACCCAGAGACTCTCTCCCGCAAGTTCTTCGTCAACGTCCCTGCAATCATGGGCTGGGTCTTTACCGCCGTCAAGCTCGTCGTTGCCAAAGAAACGAGCAGGAAGTTTGTCGTCCTGAGCGATGGAAAGCAACTTGCTACTCAGTTGGGTAAGGGTGTGCCGAAGAGTTATGGGGGTGAGAAACCCGAGTTGGCAGAGTGTGCGGTGACGATGGATATGGCTTGAGTGTGATGTGATGTCACGGTTGGGCTCATGGGGGGGATATGGGAATGGGATGGTAATGGCAGGTGGTGTGCGTGCATGTGTGTGTATGGCGTAAGGTGGGAAAGAACTTTCGTTTCAAAGCGTACAGCAGAAGAGCGATGTAGTCGGCTATTTTTTTTTCTTACTTTCTTCCTTTCTAGCAAGGGGGACTACCATCAGTCCTTGATATACCCAAATTACCTCTTTTCTTTCTTTCTATAGCGTGTTCTGTATTTCGAGAATGGCAAAAATCAATATATATACATATATAACTACATGTATTAAATCGTACTTTTTTTTCTTTCTTCTGTGGTGTGGGGAGGGGGGATACTTGGGTTTGAAGATAGTAGGATTAGAAATTATGGCATTCTTCGTTATCGTCATGATGGAAGATTTTGAATACAAACATTCGGATGCCCAAAAAAAACAACAACAAGGTATATATGGGAGGGAACCAGACATTTCATTACTCCTCCCTCTTCTTCTTCGTCTCATCCTCATCTCTACCCACCACAGCCCTATCCACCCAACCCTCTCCCCTCAAAACACCCAACCCCTTCCTCGCAACACCACTATTAACAGAACGAGGCGAAACCTCATAAAGCGTATTGACCAGGGCCAAGCTAGCTACAAAAAGCAGGACATCGCCATTCTTGACACCAGTCCACCACCCATGCTTAACACCCACTTTCCACAGCGAATCCACCGACATACGCGCCGTGTACAGGAAATTTGTTCTGCCGTTCCTGCGCCCGAGGAATCCCCACATACCACCTAGCACACCACTCAAGAACCATCGTTGAGTCGCGAGAAAAGAGCGCGGCAGGAAGTTTGTAAAGAGGCAGATGGAGCCCCAGCTCGTTCCTATTGCGCCAGATAGAAAGATAGACATGCGGAGAATGGATTTGGCGAGTGTGTTTAGAGAGGCGAGTGGGGAGGATAAAAACGCTTTGTATTTGCGGATGCTGAGTGTGGCGAAGAAGATGGTGAAGAGGCGGGCGATTTTGGGAAAGGCTTGGATCCAGTATTGGATATAAGTGCGGAGACAGGAGGGGTCTTGTGGGTGGAGGAGGGCGCAGGAGAGGGATTTGATGGCGGGGTGTGCGGAGGAGGTGATGGGGGAGATGGAGCCCAGGCGTTTGGGCAGGGTTTCGGTGTCTGGGAAGAGGATGGGCGAGATGAAGGGTGGCCATCTCTGGCGCGAGATTTCGGCTAGGTTATCGACGATGTCGTAGGTACCTGGCCAGGGTGCGGACTTTGGGTAGTCTGCAGGACGCTTTTGGATGTACTCGGGAGAGTTTCGGAGAATGTGGTCGCCGAAGCCAGAGGGAAAGCAGTCGCGGTCGAAAACGAAGGCGTGGAGGAGCTGGCCGCATGCTACGGGCATGAGCATCCATGAGCCGAACCAGCTCGGCCTGTTTTTCATGTAACCCAGCTCTTCGAGGTAGTTGTAGCTGAATTCCAGCGCTCGTGTCATGACGTAGATTGCCATGGTAATACGCAGTTGGTCTCCAGGATACACGGCGAGGAAGAAACCTGCCAGACTGGATCCGATAGCTGGTGCGATTGTGGACGTTAACGAGCGGGTTATGCGCGGGTTCCGCCGCCGAAAAGAGCGCGCTTCATTGCTGAGAAGACTCTCGCGGATACGCAAAAAGACGCGTCGCAGGAGGCGATGGAAGAGGAGTATCAGAGCGAGAGAGCTGCTAAGACGGACATTGGGTGATTTCCAGATGGGCACACGGGTTGGGTTCCTGCTAGCATGTCAGCACAAAGTCCCTTTCAAAACACTTGTTCTTTGCACTGGGCAAAATGGACTGGCTGTACCTCTGGACTGCTCTTCGCGACAAGAACCTTGTCTTGATCACCTCCCACGCCTTGAGCCCAGTCAAGGTCACCAAGCCCAGGCGCAACGCGGCGCGGAAGGCAGCGACATTGTAGTCATCCGGGCCTTTGACAATGGCATCGTATCGCTTGGGGGTAATGCTGCGTTTCTTCACAACCGGCGCACGTGAAAGGAGGTACTGGTGCAGCAACTGATACTCCTTTGCCGAGATGGTGTATCGCAGCGCATTTCGCAGGATGGGGTCGATGGGCTGTGGCTTGCCCGGTGGAGAAGGCTGCGAAGCGCTAGCCGACGACGACGACATGCTGGGCGTCTGGTGTGGTGTGAGACGTGATCATGACGTGAGGGAGGGGGAAGCGCTTTGTTGTTGTCGTTCCGGCGCAATCTGGGGTCTGGGGGAGGCTAGTAACCTGAGGCCCATAGGGCTTACCCTGACACGGCACAAGCACCATGGACCTCGGTTCATGCATTCCACCCATGGTAATGAATCATTCACATGCGAACTCCCCGCATACGTACCCGCTCAAACTTGGCAATCTATAGGGTCATTGCCAAGGAGATGTGCCATGTGAATGACCAGATCGTGCTAGTTTGGCAAAGGTGTCTTTCCATCTAGAATGTGTTCACGACAGCCTTGCAAATCGAACTGAAATTACCCCCGTTCCTACTGGGTACAGGATATCTACTAGCACATCGTAAGGTCCGAGAATCGACGTATCTCGCTGGGGCACACATATAGTTTACGTATAATGTTGGTACTGTGATGCAATACCTCGGCATGGCCACTAAGGTTGAGCGGAAAGTACGCTTCCCGCTGTGATCCGTATGGTCATTGAGAGTTCATACTTTGCCTCTATGATAGCAACAGACTAGCTGACGATGTAGTCAATAGAAGAATTGCCATATTCATATGCATTAGTCTGTATAAAGGCTGAGAGAATAATATTCTGCTTTCTTATAGGAGAAGGATTGACTTGAACAATCATATCCATTTTACAATGACCCCACTTCAATCAAATGCTAAATTAAGCCAGCACACCAAGCAAAAGAACAATATCACTTCAAGAACACGCATTCACAGACAAAACAAAACAACATGTTCATGGAATATTCATATTTCTCCCGATATCCAGTTCCTTTAAGAACGCCCTAGTATTACAAAAGATGCATCCCAAACATCCCACCTATGTCATCCCTGTACATGATATATATTCCACATGAAAAAGCCAACTATACATAAGAGAAAAAGCTTTGGGGTTTATGGAAAAAACCGACCACACATTACAAGATTGGCTTTGTTTTTTGTTTTACAAAGCGAAAAAGGCAAGGAGCGCACCAAAGAGCGCGCTGTGAGGTACCATGCTGAAGGGCGATGCAGCGCCGGTGAATTCAGCGGGCGCAGAAGGACGGACGCCGCCAGTACTAGAGGCAATAGGGACGGTGGCAGTGCCCAGGGTAGTGGCAGTGGGGTAGGGAGGAGGGACGGCGCCGCCGGCGGGAGTAGTAGTAGCGGGAGTCTGTGGGGGCGCAGTGCCAGGGACGAGAGCGACAGGCTGCTTGGGAGGAGCACCAGGGGTGCTGGGCTCGGTGGTGAAGTGGACCTGGGGCACAGTGAGGGTGGTTGTGCCGTAGGTGATGGTGGTGCAAGGGGTTTGCTCAGCAGGGGGGGCAGTGCTGGCAATGGGAGTGAGAGCAGGAGTTCCAGCGGGGACTGAAGGAGCGGGATACTCTGCGGGAGCCGAGGGAGCCGGAACTTCAGCAGGTGCTGAAGGAACAGGATACTCTGCAGGGGCTGAAGGAGCGGGAGTCTCAGCTGGGACCGAAGGAGCGGGAGTGCCCTTTCCACCAGTAGGAATAGCGACGGGGCTGCTCTCAGCGGCAGCGGGAACAGAGCTGCCAGGAACGGGAGCAGAGGCACCGCCAGTAGGAACAGCAGGAGGAGATGGGGTAGGGTTCAAAGGAATGTACGAAGGGCAGTCACCGACAATGTTGGGGTTCTGGGGGATGTGCTCGGCGCAGATACCAATGAAGTACTGGAGCGCCTTGCGGGTATCGTCGTCACTTCCGCAGCGAGCAGTAAGGCAGTCAATGACATTCTTGGTGAATTCGGGCTTGACACAGTAGCACTTGGCGTCGGTGTTGTCCTTGCAGCCAGGAGCAGAGATTTGAAGCCACGAGTTCATGCACTTGGGGACCGAGTCGGTAATGTCCACAGGAGGGTAGCTGGGGCTTGATGGCTTGGGAGCCTCAGAGCTGGTGGCAGGGAGAGGAGTGGCAGTGCTGCTAGGGATGGCAGAGGTGACAATAGCAGATGACTCCTCGCAAGACTGGCCGTAACCGCATTCAGGAGTGGCAGAGCTCTCGACTGGTGGAGTAGCAGTGGTGCTCTCAACAACCGAAGAAGGAACCTGAGTGGGAGGAGTGTATGCAGGGGCAGAGGTGTTTGTGTAAGGAGCAGGCGAAGAAGCGGGCATCTTGGAAGTGGGAACATCTGGAGTAGGAGTCTCAACTGGAGTCTCTGAGGGAGTCTCGGAAGGAGTCTCTGAGGGAGTCTCGGAAGGAGTCTCGACAGGGGTCTCGCTAGGAGTCTCAGTGGGAGTCTCTACAAGAGTCTCTGAAGTAGGAACCTCGGGGGTAGGAGTCTCGCTGGGGGTGTCGCATCCCTCGCCACCGTATTGTCCGCAGTCAGCAGAAGGAGTGGGGGTCTCGCTGGGTGAGGTGGAAGCCTCAGGAGTAGAAACAGGGGAGCAGTCGCCACCTTCGCAGATGCCACCAGTAGGCCTCCGAACCGACGTAGTGCCGCATCCCTCACCACCGTACTGTCCACACTCATCGGCAGGAGTAGTGCTGGGGACTGGGGTGGGAGTTTCCTTGGCAGGAGAAGTGGGATACTCGGCTGGGCTGGTGGTAGAAGGAACCTCAGGCGGGGTAGGGGTGGTGTAAGGAGTCTCGGGGCTGCAGTCAAAGCCAATGTTGTGGAAACCAATCTCGCACGAGTCCTGGTCGCCCTTGTGGTGAGAGCCAAGGTAGATGTCGACGGATTTGGCACCACCGCACTGGGTGTTCTGAAGAGTCGATCCACCAGCTGAGCAGCTGCCGCGCTGCTTGCAAATAGACCCGTCCTGCATAGTGTAGTGGAGCTCGAGTTCAGCGTCAAACTCGGAAGAAATGTCCATGTGGCTGATGGAGAAACCACGCTTGTTGCAGCCGAATGAAGCAGGCTGCTTCTTGCCGACCGTGTTCTTGATGCACTTGTTGCCAAAAGTCCTCTTGGTCAACGAGTCAAGCTTGCCAAAAGAGTTGGCGCACTTCCAGCCTCCAGAAAAGTCAAAGTCTCCGTAGTTGCTGACCGAGTCACCGTCGTTGAGGTCAGACCAGTTAAAGCCACCCTGTTGCTTCTCGCTACACTTGTTGTTGCTGTAGTTGGGTGTGCCATAGTTGTCGAAGAAGTTCCAAGTGGCAGCGACCTGCTGAGAGGCCAGTCCAGTGACCAAAAGAGCAAAGGCAGTCTTCATTGTGAAATGTGGGGTAGAGAATAATAGTAGTAATACGTAGTCGTATAGTCTACAAAACAATGTAGATATCAAGGCAAGACGTAAAGAGTGTCAATGGCAAGGTAAAAGTTCCAAGAGACCGAAACGAATGATGGTCTACAAGAAAAGAGAATGTAGCCTAAAGAGGGCAGTGTATTCCACCTGGGGGAAAAGCGAATGTAACAGCAGTGCTGTGATTAAAAAAAGACGAAGCTGATGGGGGTGTGTGTGTAAAAAGCGGCATGAACATGTAAAATATATTCTTCCCACCCAGCACAGGGACGAAACAAGCAAGCTTGAAACATTGTCAATGTATTGGTCGATAATCGTTTAGCATGGGGCCTCGGAATGCTCAGCCTCCTAGTCGGCTTGTCGCGCGCTCTGCAGGCCCACATGGCTCTACGGCCGTCGGTTACCAGGCGGCCTGGGAGTGGTGGTGGGATCCAGGCCACACTGCTTCAGCCCTGGCATGGGGTGCTTCTGAAACGCCCTAGATAGTTTCCTCTAAATAGTCTACCATGCAGCCTGTGTGAGCAAGCGGCCAGCGAACCATCCAGTACGCGCTCAATTGGACCCCCGGCGGCTGGCTTTTTCTTGGCTCGCCGCCTGTCGCCTGCTATCCATGGGTTGATCGACGCCACAATACTGTTACTTTTTTGTCCTCAGCGGTAATCGACAACGACGTGGTGTTGTTGGCGAGTGCGAGGCCTGGAGGAGGCGGTCTCATGGCCATGTTCTATTTCCGCTTCTGCTAGAAGCCGCCCATCAGCTTACCATGACAGTCTTCCGTTCCTTGCATCTGCCCATGTCCACACTGGTTTCCGAATACTGGACGCTGCATAACCTTGATTGCCTATTCGAGTATCTTACGCCGATCTATCGGGACGGATTGGTTGGAGGTGAAGCGCTGTCGCCCAAAAGCAGGCGCGCAAGCGTGTTTCATGGCCTTCACCCATCGCGCCCATGTAGCGACCAACGAGGGCCGGTAACAACAAGCTTTGCCCGACGCAGGCCCTGGGTCTCTCGGCGCCGTGCGTCTCGAGTGCTTGGAGGCCCAAGATTACAAGGGGCGTCAAGGATGAGGAAACTCGATGCGATGGGGTTGCTAAGAGGGCCACAATGGCAAAGTCAAACTTGTCAAGCCGGTCGCGCCCGCTCGTCCGTGTGCGCCACCATCCATCGGGCCAGACGGCACATCATTCAGGGTCGCCCTGCTGCGATCAACACTGACGGCGGCCCTCTCCACAGACACAGACGCAGACACAGACACATGTCTTCCAAAAATGGCGTCGGCATATTTGCTCTTGCCCTGGCCCTGTGGCTGTTGCACGCAAATGCAGGGATCTGTCGCCTCGCCTTCCTGTCCTCCTACACATCGACACACGGCATTGTCTTCAATGTCGCGGGCACCCCCGCAAGGATATACCAGACACAATGCATCACAGTGGCCGTGTCAGCCCCCAGACTGCCCATTCATACCTTGCCCGTGACGAGAAACGACGGCCCAAGGCATATCTTATGTCATAGTGGAGCAGCTTGATTGCCACCCTTCCTGAGGCCACTCGGTGTTTACATAATGGCCCTAACGTTTCAAGACCAAGCCAGCTACGGATGCAGTGTTCACCCTGGGGTTGTGCATGAACCTACCCTCGTGTGGGTGACCTACCATCTATAGCCCATCAACAACTCATTGGGGGGAAAACATGTGATCAGGAACTCATCCAGGAGTAAACATGCCGTGTTGCTATTAATGCCATAGGGTAGTATGATTATTTACAACCCACGACCATGTCTATATCTTTAGGTATACGAAACGCCAATCCATACACGTTGAACGCCAATACTCATCATTCTAGGTGCGTGTATTGCAGAACGCCGTCCAATTGCATCATTGTTCGCAGAGCTCAGCGATGAAAAGGAAAAATGCTCAAAAAGGAAAAAAAGGTTTGTCCTGAAATTTCGTCAATATGTACTGCACAAAAGATCCTTGCTCTTATGGTTGTTCATCCTCCACCACAACGCGCACAACTTCGTTTCGACGGCGCTCTTTGACAAGGCAGCATCGGGCTGCAGTTCGCACTTGTGCATGGCATTCGTGGGCTGCGCGGTTCAAGAAAGGCACTTGAAGTGCTCCGCAAATAGCAACCAGAGCCGAGCCCCACCACGCCAATGGGGTGAATCGCAGCTCAATTGATAGACCATAGAGCAGACCGGCGATAGGGCTAGCCACGGTGCGACAGGCAGCACCCGTCGAAGCAGCCAGTCCGTTAATCTTTCCGAGATGTGACTTGTCAGGGGTAGCTTCCTTGATCATAATGAGCAGCAGTGGGAACGCCAAAATGGATGTCAGATTTCGCACCGTGAGACAAGCAAATATGCCGGGGTAAAGCAAGTGCTCAGGCAGAAGCTGCAAGAAGGGCACAATAAAGTACGCAATAGGGTGTGCTAATGTGACAATGAGCAATAGCCTCCACACGCCAAAGCAATCGGCCAGCACTGGAAAAACGAGGGCTTGGATGACAAGCTGGATTATGCCATTCAAGGAAAGAATGATTCCAACTTTCTGAATCGGGATGCCAAGACCACCACCCAGTGCGGATGAAGCAAAGTCCAATGCATTCATGTCGTCGTTGGCGCGCTTGTCCTGAAGAAAGATGGGTAGCAAGTGGTCATATGTCATCTGTGATGCGGTTAGCGTTGATCTCTGTGCCACAGTGGTCTTCTATGCTTACCGAGTGGTACGTGAAAATCCCCAGTGCTATGACAAACATAATCACCGGCCGTGTAAAGACTTTCTCGCTAGCGGGCGATTCAACCCAGTCTCCGTTGGACCGCACGCGCCAAACCTCGTCGCGCTCAACTTCGACCGAGTTGAATGTTCCGTATGAATCCGCAGTCAGGTTTGCTGCAGAATCAGCGGTTGCACCTTGAGCAGGCAGAAGTGGAGTCTCTGCAACAGTTGCATCGTATTGTTCAAAGAATCCATGTGGCTGCTTGTCTGGGTGTGTCTCATCCAGTAGGAAATATGCCATGATGATAGAGAGCAAGAGCAGGGAGGCGCAGATGATGTTTGGCAATAGGTAGGGAAACTTGGCAAACAGACCCGTGGGGCTGAACACCGAGGGAAAGTTGGTCGCAGGCTCAGAAAAGTAGCCACCAATCGAAGCTATAGACGTCAGCGATCAGGGGATTCAAAACCAGGCCCGCATATTCAACTCACGTCCTATGATGGTACCAATACTCCATACAAACGGCATGACGGCGTAAGCCTTTGCTATTAACCGGTCAATATCTTGTTTCTCTGCAATAAAAAACGGCAGTACTTACGCTCATGCTCAGGTCGCTTTACCAGCTCTCCGACCATGGTCTGAATGACGCCAATGTTGCCGTTGAGCGCACCACCGATAATTCTACCGGCGAGAGCAACCCAAAAGTTTGGGGCTAAGCCAACAAGGAGCAGAGACGACATGGTGCCTATGCATCCAAGTATGACGACGGGCTTCCGACCTATACGGTCGGATACGCCGCCCCAGTACATGCCGCTACAGGCCTCTGCAAGCGAGAAGGCTGAGATGAGCAGGCCGGCGAAGAAGGGGGCATTTGTCTCTGTGCCAACGTGGAAGTTGGAGACAAGTTTCCAGGCATATGGAAGGATCGAGGTGAGGGCAATTGGCTCTGCGACCCGAACGAGGGCTGTGTGTTCATGTCAGTATAGGCGGGCACGTGGGGGGTGCAAATGGTAAGCAGCAGCAGCAGCAGCAGCTCAGGGGGGGAAACGCTTACCTAGAAGACCAAGCTGGGCGGCGGGAAAATCGTCGTCGTGGGTGGCGGCATTTTGGAGGCTGTTTCTTCGGTTCTTTGTGAGAAATGGCATTCTGCAACCTGGTATGAATCTTACGGCTTTGCCAACACGCAGTCTTGCTGTGGCTCGGGGTGGCGCGTGGGGTGCTGGGTAAGTATAGGCTTTTCTACACCTGGCCTATATGAGCACGCAATCAAAAAAAGAAACAAAGATGGGAGGGGTGTGCGGAGAAGATGAGAGGCGAGGGCGGTGTAAAAGACGAAGAGTTTGGAGAGAAGGACGGTGGTGTGAGGAAAGTTCTGGGTGGTTGCTGTCCTGGGCAGGCACTAAAAAAACGGATAGGATCGGCAGATGGCCTCCGACACTATCTGGCGGGACTTCCACTCCCCTCTACTCGCAGCGCTGCAATGACTAGCCGGCCTCTAATTAAGCAAGACATGACACTTGACAGATGGCTTGCAGTGCTTATGTGCGAGAACCACGGCTGGCAATGGATTGAGAAGGCCATGCCACTTCGGTCTGGCTGCGTCGGGGAACCTTGCTCCCATCCCTCGTAAACCCCACCTTTAGGCGCTAGCGGCGCCGGAACGGGCTACTAGGGTGACAGGCTTGGAAGAGCCTCTGCGTTGTTGTGACATCAACTGGGAACGCCGTCATAACCGCCTCTGTTTTGCTTTTCTCTCGTACATGGCAGTAGTTTGGTGGTTGTCCCACGCAAACAATGTGCTCAGCTTCAGCTTGGGTGTCATGGCATCGGCATCGCACGCGCATCCACGCCTCACCGCCATCACTTGATGTGTGCACATGATAACACGGCAGCACACTAGATGGGTCTGGCTGGTCTCGCTCGCCGTTGCCCTGCATGCCGCCCTCAGCCAGCCAATCACACGCGCCCTGTACCTTTATATTTCTGTAAAAGCACAACAGCACAACGCACCTGGCTGTTTTCTGATATCCGCTTCTGCGCTTGGGAGTAGATAAGCAGCGGCAGCATCATCCTCGCTGACCGAGACGGCCATTGCATTTGCGGGCGTAGAATCTTCTCACCTTCATCTATCGTTGGCTCGCACACCCAACCGATGCGCCAAACCAGACCCATACACACCGTACACCTGCAACCTCTGTGTAGTACAGGACCACCACTCACTGAACTCTATGCATCCAAGTATAATCTGCGCCC